ATTCCTGCTCGTTGCCAAGATATGACAATTGAACAATTAAGGCACAAAGCAGAGAGGGTTTAGCAAATAATTAACTGTTTTTAATTTGCCTCATTAAGCTGCTGTTAACTGCTTAAAGCCATCTGCTTAAAAATAATTTACACATCTCAAGTTTGCTCTGCAGAGCAGGTAGACTTTCATTACAGCAGGTTTTGTTATTAATGTTATCTTTAGGGGGCTTTCAGTTGTTGTGGAAAATATTTTATTGTTCACTGAACCAAACTCGCCCTGTAAACAAAAGGAAATGGCACACATTTGTAATTTGCAGTCTGATGCCATAACCGTGTTCTTGGGAACCACTGTCATTCATTTAGAAACTGGCTTGCTGTGGAGGATGTTATTTACAGCCATTAGGTAGATCTGGGTATGAGAAAGGAGAATGAGCTATGTGAATGCCTAGTATCCCTATTATCTACTACCATCCCAAAAAATTAGGCCTGGAGAGGAAGAACAGCCAGATCTGACACAGTGCCACAGCTGTAATTGAGGAGAGGGAACCCTTCTGCCTGCACCCTAAAGAGCTACCTGAGGAAAAACAAGTTTATCTCCCCAGATTTGTAAAGAAACAATTTCACTTACAGAGAATGGAATCACCACAGAGCCACAGACCCTTCTCTTCTATCTCAAGCTGAGATTCATTGTCATTTCAGTTAGATTGCATGTATGCTTCTTTCTGATCTGCTATGTATTTCTGTGGTCTGCTGTGAAATAATTGCCCTGGTTCTTGTCAGAGGAGACTGTTTCAGCAGTATGCTAATGGATTCCTGATACAAATAAGGTTATTTGGAGTGAAACTAGCTTTAGAAACATTAGATAATGATCGTGTGAGAATTTGAAAAAAGGTCCTCCACTCAGTCTATGGGAAAGAGGTGCATGTGATTTTGGAACTATTAGCTGAGACACAGTATTTGACTAAATATAGATCTTCTTTTATCAACAAATTAGAAACTCATTAAAATATTGCTAAGAAATTGATAGGGTTTTTTTCAATTGTGTGCTGTTTATTAAGAAGAAAAATGCCAATATTTAACACAATGCAAATCTTTTTTAAGTATCTGCGCAAAAATGTTGCTATGAACTGTAAGTATCATTGTCTTTCTATTAAGATTTTATTTGGCTCTTTCTGTCAAGGAGAAAGCCTACAAAGAGACTGACTGTACAAGTTTGCACACAACCTGCTTTCAAGTGTGTGACAAACCAGAAAAAATATAGGGCTTTTTGTAGTTGTTTTTGTTTGGAATAGTTAGTTACTCTTTGCAACTGCAGCTACTATGCCTTTTAGCGTAAAGGAAGACTTCCCAAGGAATCCTTGACTGGAATCCTTTTATGGTTACCCAGTCATCTGGGCCTACATTTGAAAAAATGGCAATGAAGAAAATGTCTTAATTTATCTTGATTGGAAGGAATGAATGTTCTAAAAACGTACACATGTCGTTGAACAGAATATGTGGCTTCTGCCGTATTCGATATGCCCTCATACTTCTGTTCTTTTTGCTATATTTGTCTTAATCTGGAAAGAATTTTACTTCAGGATTTCACTGTGAAACACTTCTTCACAGCAAAAACCTTTAGATGACATAGAGCTAATTAACTAATTCTTTTAGACCAAATATATGAAAAATTAAATCAATTTTTAGATTTGCAAAATACTTTTGAACATGTTAAACTTAATACTTATTTTCACAGCTGTCTACTGAAGAGTACCCAGTGCCAAGATGCTGTTGAATACTCAGTTATTCAAATCACGAGTTGTTCCTTTTTAGTACTCTGGATTGACGTGCAAGTTTAGGGACAATTGAAAGACTTCCAAATATTTTATGTGCAAAACATTTTTATGGGCAAACGATTTTGATTTGAGCTGAGTGAAATCTCTGAAGTCATCTGAGCTGTAGCTCAAGTAGCAGAAGAGAGTGATAACCACCGTGGACCTTCTGATGATAAGCTTGGGTAGGGAGCTTCTCTCTTAGGAGAGAATTATATGTGATGACCTAAATCTATGGTTTTCACCAGCTATATATTTGCGAAGAAACCTTGAAAAATATTTCTTTAGCGCTTCCACTCTAGATGAGAGCAAGTTGTCAAAGTTCCACAATCTGTCAGAAAAAGTGTTTTAACTTTCAGTCGTGTCTGGTTATAGTCCTTACACAAAACGCAGGAAATTCTGCTTTAATAAAACCTTCTGACACTAGCAGAAGACCTGAAGACGATCTTGCCAGGGTGCAGTTAATGCAGAAGTTGGAAAGCTTGCTGTGCTTAAACCTCAGTTCAGCTGCTGCGGTGGCCTCCGTTTCACTTCCACCTTCTTTTGACTGGTTTTTTTTTGCAGATGGGAGGAGTCAGGGAAATAAAGATAGCTGTATCTCAATGCAGTCAGCGCCCTTGAAATACTGCTTCCCTTCTATGTGTCTTGCCATGTGTGACCACCAAAAATATTTCATCTGTCCCTTTCCTGCTGCTGAAGAGAAGGAACGGAATCAGTTTGGCCTTTCTGACAGGTCTGCCCTCTGGTCCGACTGTGAAAGGCATCAGCTGGGGAATGGAATAGCCCCCTGTTTAATGAGAGGAGCCTTGAAAGCACCTAGTAGTTGAGAGTTGGAGTGAGGCCTGCAAAATGGGAATAAAGAAAACACTGCTGCTGGGAGCTGCAAGGCCTTCAGAAGCCATTAGCCTTACTGTGCTTGCTTCTCACTTGCTGAGTGGGAGGATCTGTATTGGAGAGGCTTGTGCAGCTCAGTTCTCTGAACGCGTGAAGAAAGTGCAAAAAAGGCTGTCTAGGGGATGGCTCGGAGTCCTGTGTATCCCAGTGCTACTGGTTCCTGTGTTCTCTGTACTTTCATCTAAGATGAGAAGCAATGCGGAGGAGGAGAAGAGGTGCTGACAGGAGAGAAAGACAGTTCTCAAATGGCTGCCTGAAAAACTAGATGTGAAGTGGGATGTGTTTCTGATACTTGACTTTGGAAACTCACCTGGAATGTGGATTTCTCTCTAGCAAATAAACTGTTTCCACTCATCTTCTTGCTCTTTCCTGCCCCAAACCAGATGGACCTGCTACAAGATGAGCCCTGCTGAGGGTTCAGCAACCGTGTCATGGTTGGGGGATTGAGTGCATCTGTGAAAGAAATCTGGCAGAGGAGCAGCACTGACTCAAGTGGCAGAGCTCAGCTGGGGAGGAGGCAGCAGGTTAACAGAAGTAGTTTTAAACTGTATCTCTTGTGAAGACAGTCCTTGAGTATTGCTGACATGAGTTGTAACTTTGAAGTCTTGAGGTGGTTTGGGTTTTTTCTGAAAACCACAGACCCTTAGTTCTCGTGTCTGCTTAAGACTAATTGTGCATTGAAGGAGTAATTTCTAGCCTTTGCGTTTGTGGAACAAAGTGACTCGTGACCTGAATGCCATCTTACAGCTCAGAGCTAGAAAGCTTATGAAAACTCATTGTTTCTAGTTAAATCACCAGGTAGCTGTGTGTGAAAAGGCTGTCTAGGAGATACTGAGATGTGAGAGAAGGGCATGAAGTAATTTGCCCCAAATTCAACACCTGAAATCAAATAGGAAAGCTACAGACTTTCCACTTGCTCCATCCTTTGTTTGTAAATCCATTGGTAAGCAGAAGAGGAGTCAAGAGGCAGCTAGAAGAGTTAGGGTTAAAGCATCTACCACCTCTTACCTCCTAATCACATCTTCAAAGACAAGTAGACATGCTGGGGCAGGACAGTGCTTGGAGGAAAAGAGAACAGGAGGAGAGCTCCAGCCTCTTTTACACCTTTATCCCAGAAAGACTGTGAATAATACTACTTTTTTGAGGTACTTTGGAAAAGGAAGTATCCTATCTTTTCTTTTTTTCATGCAGAAGAAGGGAACTTGCATGACTTAGGGCAGGGAATTTCTGGCATTGTGACAAAGTTGTCTTAAACATTTCTTCCACCTAGCTTCAGCAGACTTAAGTCTGTTCTGATGCCAGCGTTTTGGGAGCTGTAATGTTGGGAAATAAAAGGTTGTGGTTAGAGTCACTTATTAAATCTCATAGAGTGTACTGCTTTTTGAATGAAGGATGTACTGAAGGAGTGCTTACTGTGGTTGGAACAGGAGCTCCAAGACTGAGTCAGACCATCAGTAGGGTTTTTGTGGGGGTGTGTGATAGTTCACCCAGAAAGAAATGTAGGTAGTTCTTTCTCATGTGGTCTGACAGCACAGAATAGCAATGACTCTACTTGTGAAAGGCAAGAAGAAAAAAATCGGTGACAAAAAAAAAATCTGCGTTTTCGCAAGTCCAGTTTATGTGGTGATGAATTCTAGTACTCAAGCAGCCTTACCCTGTAGCACATGGTGAGGCTCTGCAAGGCTGCTCTGCGCCACTGCTTCATGGTGGAACAGAGCAGGGCTTGTGTTGTACACTGCAAAGGCAATTTACCTCCCTTTTAACTGAAATAATTTAAATAAAAACATTTCCTTTGAGAAATTCATTAGTCTGTTAAGTAACTACCTTGTTTGAAAGAAAAATCTCCTGGAAAGATTGGATTCTGTGTAGCTTATGGCAGTTCATAGGCAGGCACACGACCTGGTTGCATCCTGGATACCGAGATCTTACGTTTTTTTATATATACTTTTTTACATATATTTAAAAAAAAAAAAAAAGAAAAAGAAAAAGTAAAAACCACCAAGCCCTAGCAGCAAAAGAATTAGTTTCTGTGGAATGAAGTAAAAACAAGTTAAATTACATTTTTGATAGGAGGGATAGCCTGTGCAGAATGACAAACGGTGAACATGTGCAGCAGGTTCCACACTTATGAAGTAAGTTTAGAGGGGATAGGGGATACAGTGCAGCTTTGTCCTGCTAAACTGACTTAAAACATTGGTAATTCTACAACGTAGACCTTGAAAACCTAAGTTTCTATTTTGAAGAAATTTGAGTTGCT